GCAGACCAGAAGAACTTAATATGGACAGAAACAAGTGGTAAATCAAAAACAGTGATTAGGATAATTAGATAGTCGATTATTTTTTTAGCAGTGAATATGAAGAGTTCTTTCTGTATTCCCGTGTCACTAAGTGAGAATAGTCACGTGACCATGTGTAAGCAGTCCTCAGTGTTTATTATTCCCCTTGGTTCCGAGTGGAACATAGGGCTTAAACAGCAAATCTCCACTTTGTTCCATTTTCTGGTGTCCTCTTCAGCTGGGTCCACGATTGCCCATAAGTTCCCATATCGTCTTCACACGATCTTCTCCATGTCTCCCTGGGACCCATGTCCAACTCAATGTTTCCAATTCGGGTTCCATTCAAGGGCTGGCCTGGAGCGCCATGTCGTTCGATGACCTCCTCAGCGTATGTCCAATCCATCTACATTTTCTCCTACATATTTGTTGAGGGATCGGCTATTGGTTGGTTTGTTCCCACAGTTGCTTGTTACTTATTCTTTCTGGCCATTTGATTTTCAGTATGCAGCGAAGGCAGCTGTTGATAAAAGTCTGTAACCTGTTGGAAATCATTTTTTCTACACGTCGATTTGCTGACCCATATAGAAGGACCAACTTGACATTAGTGTTGAAAATCCAAATCTTGTTCTTTATGCTGAATGCAGAAGATTTCACGCTGATGAAGACGTATCTCGCCTTTCCAATTCTGACTGGTCTTGATATCTTCATCCATTCCGACTGTAGTTGAAACGATGCTTCCTAGATAAGTGAAGGTAGTAACATTTGCATGGAGGATTTCATCATGAGCTGACATCAGTTAGAGAACCACTGGAAAACTTGGGAGTACTGGATAGTAACATTTGTCAAATCTCTCTCGTTGATGGTAATTGGTAGCATTTGTCATCGCTGTTGCAGTCGGTTGGTTATCTTCATCACTTCCGTCTTCTCTGTATTCACCTGGAGTCATGTCTTCGCTGCCAGCCTCTTCCGCCAGTTTGTTCGTTTTCACCGACAAGTCTTCGAGTTTGTGTGATATTAAACATAAATCATTCATACACGAAATCCAGATCTTTTAGAGTCTTCTAATCGGCCAGTCCAGCGTATTCCTGTCTCCTCACTCCCATCGCACAGTCTGACGCATAGTCCAGTGCACTACAATTAAGAATATCATCGGTGATAATAGGCAGTCAGCTTATCTCATTGCTGTATTCACTTCAAATGCCCTGCTGAGTTTGCCTTTGTGGATCACCTGATGCGTAGTACTGTCATATAACCAGCTGTTGAACGAGGTTGATAAAGACTTGGAACACACCGTCTGTGTTAAAATAATCAAATGATTAGACAAGTGATAAAGGTCATGACTGACTGATTTCAGCAGAGAAATTTGTACAGAACTCCAGTAGTTCAAGTTGTCACACTCCATGCAGCACACAAAAGGAAGACAAAAGAGACAAGAGAAGAGATTCAAAGAAGTGATAATAAGCAGAAATTTGAGAGAAAAAGAATAATAATAAGGTGGAAAAACAATAGTGTTTAAAGGATATAGGAGGTCACACAGAGTGAATACATCTACCCCACTGAGAACGATTTTGAGCAACATCACCAATTATCTCCAGTCATTGGTTCTAAGTATCCCTTGGGCCCCAACCAGGCAACCTGCAACTCTCTACATGGCTCAGACTGATCATTAAAGATTTCATGGGCTGTATTCAAGTTTTAGTTTGACTACCACTAACTCTTTTCCAACCTGATCCTATGTCAGCTAACATTGCAAGTCATAAAATATACGACAGTACTAGAAAAATAATTAAACTAAGTGGGGCTAAGAATAAATATAAACCGAATATAAAATCTGAACGTGGTATTTTCTTTTTGAAGCAGTCAAACTGGGAAACTTTCCTTTTCTGGAGGACGGGATCGATAATAATATCGTATGTAGTTTCAGAGATTTGAGATAAACTTAGAGTGAAGAATTTTAATTCACTCATCTGATTCTATATACGAACTGTTAAATTTCAGTGGAATGCAGAAACTAAACATGGTTTCTCGGATGTTTTCTGACCGATTGCGATAGGTGACTGCCTCTTATTATTTTACACGCGTTTACATGGACTAGTACGTGTGACTGTTATAAATGCAGACTTGTGAATATTTTGTTTCACAAAGTGAAGATGACTATTGCTTGCAGGTTGTTCGTGGACACTGCATTCCTAGTTTGTCTGGTTTTGCCCCTGATTTCAACATGGCAGCCTACTTGAATCACTGGGCGACATGAATTTTCACCCAACACAATACATCATATTCTCTCAAGTTCTTATCATTTTTATTATTCAGTTATGTCCCTGAGTAGCAAAATGTACTCAAGCACATTTTCATTTGGCTCTCAAGCTTTTTTCAAACTGTCTCCGGAATATATGTTTCGTGTTCCAGGCCATGAGCCAGACTTATAGTGTAAGGGCTGGTGATATTACCCAGTTGCCAAGGCTGAAGTAAGTGGAGCAGGACTCACTGAATGAGAGCCGAGTGCTTAATCTAGTAGGCCATGTCTCCGGCTTCCAAACTGATAGTATGCCACACTATCTCTTCATGAAACATGTTGGATATATCAGTGACTAGGTGTCAGTTCTCAAGATGTTAGGAACAAATAGTTGAAAGACACTGGACAACTAAGCTAATCATAATGGGATAAATTTTCTTTCAACCAAATTCTGAACACCTTGTTACATTAATTTATTTTCTTCCTTTACTGTATAATAATAAAAAATTCTGCCTTTTTACTAACCGTTTGACAGCAAATTTCAAGATAAATAATAATATCTAATAAGTGAATTTTCAGAAAATTCACCTAACGAATTTCAAAGATGACTTTCAATGAGATACTCTCTACCTGCTCTAAAGAAGTTACACTCATAACCAAGAGCATTTTCTTATCGCCACAACGAATATATTGACTGAGAAAAATGGAAACATTACTTTTTCATTTGGCTTTACCAAGAACGTAAGGATTTCACAAACAGATAAAAACACCACATGAAATTAAATTGATTTGTTTTTCAAATTTGATCACGGATTGATATCAGTTAGAAAACCAGCAGGGAGTACTGGACACCTCTTTCATCCTAAATTGGAAATCTTCGGCAGTACGCACCCACCACAGGTGTTCGAAACCGCGACCTTCCGGTTACAAGGCTAGTGAGCTTGTAGACCATTCAGCCATTGGGATCCGATCGAATGGCGCATGAATTCTAACTTCTACCAATTCATGATTGGTTACAGCGCGGAGTTTCCTGGAGTTCTAATGAGAGGTCGTGACCAGTGATGTGCATACAGTCGGGAGTAGTGATGGATTATCCACCAATGACATTGGTTGGTGGACGCGCTAAATCACGAATTGGTAGAAGTTAGAATTCATGCGCCATTCAATCGGGTCCCAGTGACTGAATGGTATACAAGCTCACTAGCCTTGTGACCGGAAGGTCATGGGTTCGAACACCTATGGTGGGTGCGTATTGGCGATGATTCCCAAACTAGGATGAAACAGCTATCCAGTACTCCCTGCTGGTTTTCAACGGTTCTCCAACTGATATCAATCCGTGGTAAAATTCGAAAAATAAGATCTACTTCAAATTTCGCTACTGATAACCAAAACTTCATTACATTTGAAGAAATCCGGTAACAAAAAACTTAAGCACTTTTCGACTGACAAGGTGAAGTGAAGATGTCGCGAAAATATATCCAGCATTCATAACACAAAGATCACCAGTTTTTCTAAACTATACTTAAATGAAATCTTAGAAATGTATGGAGATGACTGAACAAAGTTAGTAGTAGTAAAATTACTCAAGCAGTATTGCATACTTAAGATTTTATAGTAGTATGTCCAAGCATACCATGTTAGATAGGGCTTTTGGTTTTTCCAGGGAAGTTGAGTCAATCCCAATGGACTAATTGCTGACAAAATCTCAGCAGGGATGCAAAAGGTTTGTTTGGTGTACACGTGATATCCGGCTATCGATCGAAGAATATGTTTAGCATGCAGCAGTTCTTCTTTATAGGTGTGAGACATGACCACCGGAAGTGGAAGCAATGAAGATGCTAGCTGTCGCTGACCACAGATGTTTCAGTTCTATCTCCCGTATTAAGTGGTATGATACAGTGAGTAATATTGAGGTTGGGTGCAGAGTCTTAGGTAAGGAGGGTAAATCAATCGATGACGTTGCGAAGCTACACCGATTCAAATAGATAGGACACGTGTTGGACATACCAAGCTATAGCCTTCCTCCATGAGCAATGTCAGCAGACATTGGATTAGCTTGGAAAAGGGTTAGGAGTGGCCAAACCAAAAACTGGAGTCAATCCATGAAGTCCTTGAGTGTTGGTCCGATCTATGTGAGAAGGTGTAGGATTGTCTGGTTGGGGTCCTCAAGGTGCTAAGATCCAATGGCTGGAGACAATTGGTGATGTCGCTCAAAATTGTTCACAGTCGCGTAGATGCATTCACTCTCTGTGATTGCCTATGTCCGTATGAAACTCTATTACATGTTACCATTCTTTCTCCCTCACATTTCTGCTTATTATAGTTCTTTTGAATATGTTCTTTTTCCACTACCTTTGTGTTGTACATGGAGTGTGGTAACTTCAAGTGTTCCACTTCTGTACTGGGTTCTATATTTTGACTAGTATGAAATCAAAATCAAAGTGTTCCCATAGATATCCCCCTACTTGGAAAATACTTCCCACAAAGTGAAACACCATTCCCATGACTTACACTGCCTACACTAATAATGACATCAACAATAATGACAACAAAAATCATAAATCGATATACGGAACTGTTTATTTCAGTGCCTAAAAAATCACAAAATTGCATAAAATCATAATCGTGATTGAGCTGATCAAGTGACGGTTTCACTTTTGTGACACTGAGTGAATAAATAGGCAGGTGTATTTGAAGAGAGGACAAAAACATGTAATTATTGACGATAAATGCAGTTTATAATAAATAAAGAACAAATTCAGTTCTAATGCTCCACACACAAAATAATGAACAAGCGTCTGTAGTATACACACACACACAAAGAGATCATGAATTCGCGAGTTAGACAGCACAACAGCATAAAACACAAAAAGGAAAGACATTCATTCTCACATCATACAAGATTATTAGTCTATAAATGAAATTCTATTTTAAAAACACATAATAGTGAAGAATAAAAAATCAATAAATCAATAAAAAGAATTTTCAAAATACACTTTGTTAATGAAACAGTTCAAAGTACTAAAAATGATCCAATATGTCATTTTGGGTAAACAGTTCATCCAAAATATAGACAGTCATTAATTTACTACTTATGTTATAACGACGAGACTTAAAAGGAAGACTTCAGCTAGTAATTAGTCTACCTAAAAGAAACTGAAAATATCTTTCACAAAAGAAAGAAAGCAAAAAACGTTAATTAAGTGTGAAACAACTCGTCTACAAAGATGATATGATTAAAACACACACACATACAAACACACACGTGAAGTATGCAAGTATGTATATACATGCATGCACTTTTGTTTGTTTAAATCAGTACCATAAATCCAAACTAGGCGAAAATTTAAAAAATCGCGCCAAGTCAAAAGCTAACTAAACAGACATGTCCAATAGTTATTGATAATCATTAAAGTGCAAAAATATATATATTATTTCTTTTCAAAAAGGCAGGGGAAAACACAGTAAAAATACTTAACAACCTATAAATAATAAATGAGCAAATACATAGAAGAGTTAAGGCACACAGACTTAAAAATGTATCCAAGATACCAAAAGTAAACAATGAAGTGAATATTAAACAGACGAACAAAATAAACAGACAGTTGGATAGAAACATAAACAAAAAAAAAAGGTGTACATAAAAATTTTTCACTTTGTCGACAAAAAGAAAAAAAGACTGACACAAGATTGCAATCTCAAGTTTAGATATATTTGCTTTTGCTTAAAGGCACAATAGTTTTCCTTGATGATGATAATAATGAAAGATAATAACAGTATGACACCAATTAGCTCTCATGCATTACACACAGACTAGTTGATGTGCATTCGAAAGTCCACGATATATTTGTTTTTGCTTGGTTTTTTTTTTTCATTTTAACTCTAGAGAAAATCAAAGTAAACAGGATTTGTTGATTGAGAAAATTTCTTCATTAATCGCCTCTGTTGTTGCTTTCTTATTGATTTAAACCAGTGCGTCACGTTACCAGTTGTTGCAGCAGTCCATCATCACCCACCCATTTAAACAATCACGCATAGAGTTCGACGTTTAGGTTCAAGCATTAAAAGCTGAAAAATGGATAAAACGAAGGCAGGGGATAGTTAGAAAACAACATAAAAATGAAGATATATATATATATATATGCGTCGGTGGCACAGCGGTAGAGTGCTCGCCGACCACGCAGGTGGTTCGGGGTTCGGTTCTCAGCCAACGCACTCGTTTACCTCGCTAAGCCAGTAATAAAACTGGTAAAGAGGGAAGGTTGGACATGAGGCTAGCAACCCTATCCTGTAAAAACAATCACCATTGCTACAGGAACTTCAAGCCTCTAGCTTGAAGCCCTATGTTTCACTGGGAACGTAAAGGAATATATAAATATATATACATATATATATATATATCTTTAATAAACGGCCTGAAATCGGAAGTCAAAGTTCATTTCACTAAATATTTAAGTAATGAAAGAGACGCAAAGTCAATAAAAGGAAACCTTAAAAAGTTACAAGCTTAGTGTGTGTATTAAACGTTTAAGTATGTAAATTTATGATTTCGGAAGCGGAAACACATAGTCAACTTTCACGCATAAAAGTTTATCATATAAGTCACAAGTTCATATATACAATTTGCCTCACCTTGGACAATAGGATAGTACAATAAATTGAGGTAACTCTCAACAACTATATGCACGCATAGTTGATTGACGACTGGTCGTCAAACCTCTTAGAGTGGAGTGAGATTCAGAATTGAATTCAGGAGCATGAAAATAGAATTTCCATACCAATTAGCTACGGTTTCATAAGTATATATATATATATAGTTTTATGTCCAATGTTTTACAATTTAGACAAACAGTTGATTAACTTCTCAATGAGACATGAAAAGAAGGAACAAATAATAACATTACACGGGGAATTAACAAACCGGAAAAAACAAGGCACATAGACTATACTTGAGAGTGTGAAATGCTAACTAAAAAATATAAGAGAAAGCTAATATGGGGTCAACAGTAAAAGGTCAGGACTGGTTTTGTTTTATTCCTTTTAACTATACACCCGTATAGATTACTGATTTTCTGCATTTTTTCCCCGCTATAACATTTCTTTTGTGCAATAATATGGAATATGACAGTTTATAAAAGCCTGGATCTTTGCGTCATTCTTGATTTATATGTTACAAAAATAGTCTAATCAAGATTAAGGACATAATCTTTCTTTCTTTTCTCGAAAATACATTTTTTGAAAAGTAAATATAACATAGGGATCTTGTACAACCACGTTGAAAACTATACTCTTCGTGTTAATCATAGAGAATATGGCTTAAAGAGACACATAAAAAAGAATAATAAGCAGAATTATGATGAAATAGAGGTATAAATATCTAGAAATCCGTTGCTTGAATTATTACAAAATGTCATTATTATCAAGAGTTGGTTAGTGAGGACTAGATTCGGTTTTACACGAGTTTGACCACACATTGATATCAGTTAGAGAACCATTGAAAACCAGCAGGGAGTACTGGATAACTGTTCCATCCTAGTTTGCGAATCATCGCCAGTACGCACTCACCACAGGGGTTCGAACCCATGACCTTCCGATCACAAGGCTAGTGAGCTCGTAGACCATTCGGCCACTGGGACCCGATTGAATGGTGCATGAATTCTAACTTCTACCAATTCGTGATTTGCTACAGCGCGGAGTTTCCTGGAGTCTCAGTGAGGTGCGTACTGCCGATGATTCCCAAACTAGGATGAAACAGCTGTCCAGTACCCCTTGCTGTGGTCAAACTCGTAAAAAAATCATTATTAGTTTATTCTTTCATGATATGACAAGTGATTCATGGTCAGGGAAGTAGTATTGTTCATCAATTAACGATTTTTCTAATCTCATAAAAGTGGATTTTAGCTCAGACAAAGTACACATATACACTATTGCATAGAATACTGTCAGTTTACACATTACCTATATTATACAAATACAGACTAAGAGTTCAGCAAATTTATTATTATACGCGACTTTTATTAATATTCGATTAATATTCTGTAATGCTAAATGTAAATATTTACACTCATAGATGTGTTGTATTGGATGAAATAAAATTATGCAGGAATTATTAAGTGTAATCGAGATGATAAATTATCTCAGAGATGTGCACAGTTGCACCTTTACTTTTAAACTATACACCAGAGTTAGTTAATGCATAAAGAGGTTATGAAAATAATCATTGGATCAAATCAATAAATCAATCAATCAAATAAAGGGAAAGATTAAAACTTATCAAGTAGCATTTGATAGTCAGAAATCTACAGTCAGATGCTTAATACTTATATATATATATATATGAACAGGTATTTTTTTATTTTATTACTGGTGTGCCACAACATTTGAAATACATGAGTCCTCAAATTGCCCCAAAAGCAACTTAAAATTAAATGAGGTTTCTCTATGCATGATATGTATATATGTATTTGTTTTAAAGATGAACAACAAAGTCACTCATTTCTAATCATTTTTATCATATATTGTCATTTAATAAAACTTAAAGATCAGCAACAGAGATCTCTGAGAGCGAACCAAGCAGGAACCGATTGTGAAACAAATAGGCAGGAAGAAATAGAGATGGATTGGTCATACTCTGAGAAAACCATCAAGTGACATCACTAGACAAGCCACTGCTCGAGTGGAACCCGAAAGGGAAGCGGCGAGTTGGTCGTCAGTGCGAGGGTGGGTGACTTGGAGGAGGTCATGTGAAGAGGAGAGGAAAGCATGTGGGCAGACGTGTAGCCAGGTGAAGACTCTAGCAGAGAACCGAACGCAACGGAGACGCACGGCTGAAGCCCTATGTTCCTCTAGGAATTAAATGAAATAATAATAATAATAAAACCCAAGGAAGCATACCCGATAGATAAGTGCCCATGGTCTAACGATTCGGCAAGTCTACCATTTTCAGTCAATGAAAGTAACTAATGAATGTCAAACACAGTGAAGAAGTAATCCAGATTTCCAACTTCCAATTATTGCGTTCAATGTATGTAAAAGTTGTTAAGCAAACTGTCATCATCTCAATCAACAGTTACTGTTTCTTGGTAAATGCGATGTTCAAACACTTAACTTGATCTCAGATACATATTGAGTATAACAGTACACTGAACCACACACACATCTACTGCAAATCAGGTGAAAAACACACCACCGTGATGAACAACTGTACACTAGCTTTTAACAGTCTATCAGTCAGAACTCGAATTATATAAATATCGGCTTCTGATTGACTGACTGGTTTCAAAGTTGAGCTTTGCACAGATGTGCAGCAGTTCGAGATTCAAAACAGAGATATCAGGCAAAAAGAATAGCAATATCGAAGAACAATATAGTTTCATTGGATATTATAAGTCAGAAGGAGCGGATGCGTCTGCGCCATTGAGAACGATTTTGAGCCATATCACTAATTGTCTCCAGCCTTCATTGGTTCTTACGATCTCGAGGACCCCAACCGGGAAGTCTACACCTTCCTACGTGGCATAGACTAACTGTTGTAGATTTCATTGACTGGTGCCATGTTTTCGTTTGACCGCCGCTAGCTCTTTTACAACCTGACCCTATATCAGCTAACATTGCCCGTCGAGGAAGGCAATGACTAGGCATACGTAACACATGTCCTAACCATCTCAGTCAATGTAATTTCACAGCCTCGTCGATTGATTTCCCCTCCTTACCTAGCACTCAACCGAGGCCTTACCTCAATATTGCTCACCTTATTATACCACTTAACACGGGAGATAGAATGCAGGCACAACTATGATCAAAGACAGCTAGTCTTTTTATGTCTTCCACTGTCAGTGGCTATGTCTGGCTCACTGCAATATAGGATAACAGAGTGAACTGCTGAACAGTACATATGCCCTTCGGTCGACAGCCAGATACGCCAGAGATGGCGTAAGTTGGTGTATGTTGAGATTTCGTCAGCGATAAACCCGTAAGTCAAACAGTCGGATTTCACTACATGGACAGGCATCTCTAGTGCTGGACCTATGTTTCTTCACGCTTAATCATCATGATACTATTTCGAACATCATTACTATTATATATTATTTCCTGCTCACTCTGTTGCGATACACATTTCAGCATCATCATGTGAATTCCCAATTACTAGTTAAGACCACAGAAATCTACTAGGAAATTTAAATTACGGGTTTTTGTAGGGATGTAGATTAATTTCAATGGAGATTTTATCACAGATCAACATCATTTGGAGAGATCGCTGAAAAAACGGGAGTACTGAACGGCTGTTTCGTCCTAGTTTGGAACTGTGTATAGCAGTGCATATCCAAGATTCTAACTGTAATAGAAACTCGTAACTCTAGGTTATGAAACCAAGCTTGTTGACTATTCAGCCATTTGGATTGTAATTCAGCACCGCGTTAATTCTAACTTCATCAATTCGTGTTATAGCATTATCTTTAACCAGTTCTTTCGATGAACATCCAATTTATGTTGATATGATGGACACCGATAGTCACGACTTCTTAATACAACTTTAGGATATCTATCCAATAGCCATCAATGCGCTGGAGATCGAGTTTTTATTGGTATTTGGAATAATTCCAGTGTGGTTTTTAGTGATCTCAAGCTCATGTTTATTCGTGACGAATTCTACAGTGATGCTAGGAAATTATTGAACAGTCGTTAATGTTAGCCGATATTAATGTAGATATTCAGTGACCATAACTTCATCAAACTATAGAGAGAGCAAAGTATACAACTGTTATCGCCATATACAAATTTCGTGTGAATTATTGGTTCAGCGGTAGTGGAATACGTACCAACCACGCCTTACATGATCCGGCGTTTGATCTTAGTCGACCTACTACTAATCTTCGCTAATCCGGTAGTCAGTCCGGTAAAGAGAGACGGTTAGGAATGAGGCTAGCATTCCCACCCCATGAAAACAAAACTACAGCTAGTGAAACCTTAAAGCTTAAGAGGCCTGAAGCCCTGTGTTCTACTCGGAATGCAAAAGGAATTAAAAAAACAAATATACAAATTTCTATCGAGATATATGGCAAGACGTAACTATCCAGACAACATCAGAATTTAACATTTCTATACTGTACATTCTTCACTGACAAGTATGTCTACACATTTTTCCATTACATCATAATGGAAAACTGCTTAAATATCTTAAGGATAATAGTTTTCTGTCCTTCAGCAGTGTACGAGGAATCAACTAAGTTGCAATACTCAGTATCACAACAATAATAAGAAAACAGAACTCAAAGTCAAATTAATATATTTACTAATAGCTAGCAGAGTAATTTGAGACAAGCGTTTCTCTTTGTCTGGCATACTGTATATCAGATAAGTGCGACGAAATTTCTCAGTGAAACACCTAAACTTGCTTTTTCATTCACGTACTATTTATTCGTAAAATTATGAAGCGGAAAATGAGTAGACAACGCAACATAAAAGTAGATATTAATTAGATTTTACTACTTTACCGACCCGACGACTTACACATATTATATAAAAGACCACTTGTAGTCACATGTTTAGTATGCAGGTTAGATAAGCTAAGTGAGAATAGTCAAAGATTTACTAAGGCAACCAGCAAGTAAAGATCACACACTAAATCCATAAAAATCGTAAACGAGAACAATGTTTTAAATCAATAGTACTATCACACGCGTTTACATTACTACGAATGCACATACACATTCATTTAATGTAATATTTAGACTTGTAGTAAGACAAACATACAGACCAGTAGTGTACAACTGTATCGCTTTAACATATCGAAACTTTACAACACTCCGTGAGCATAAAATTAAAAAAAGTGGAAAATATTAAAATAAACAAAGAGAAAGTATGACATAGAAATAGAGAGTAGTGTTCAGAATTTCGATGATAAAAACTGAATAGATGTGCATCACTACCATTAACGTTAATTCGCCTAAGAGTTCTCAATCAAAAAATCACTTATCCTCGCACAGTTAAAACCAGAAGTCAGTAACTTTATGATATCTAAAAACGCATAAATGAAATTGGCGAGATTTCACCGAAATTGTTCAGATCATAATATTTGATCTGCTTGATACCGTAAATGGTAATCAAGAAACCAAGCATGAATGCATAGCGGTGCATACTACTGATTGATTGGAACGAGTAGCTGTACACCACTCACGTTAACCAGTAGTGCTTACTGGTCAACCAGATAAGAGTGATCTCAACACCAGATACATAACTTTCTTTTAAGTTAGTTCAAGGTTAACTAAAATATCACTTGCTGGTATTAGATGGTTGGAGGCAATCAGTAGGAAGCCGTCGACCTAGATCTCGTGCTAGCTGGCATTCATCAGCGAGGCGTATCTGCAACCCTGAAGGAACTCATGTCCCTTCTGATATTCAAACCCGCGTCACCCAGTGCGGCAGTCTGAGACGTTACCACTGAGCTATTCAGGCTCGCGACTGACCTCCTATAGGACTGTATTGGATATTTTTTTGGTTGGTGCAGACTGAATTCTATCAGTCGAGTTTGCAATGTAGCCACTATACTAGGTGGCTCGCCATCACGGTGCACATAGCACTTCATCACAGACAGGGGTTCACTATACATTACACATCATAACTATCCTCCTGGAGATCAATGTTCATAACTCCAATGACTGACCGTTTTCTGTCGAAATAACGCCCCGTTGTCGTCATCAATACCATGAACACTCTTATTCCGTTGCACACTAAAAGTGCTTTCAAAACAATTATAGGAGCGCAAAATTTATTACATTCTGTGTACCTGTTGCCTCCAAACTCGTTGATTAAATAAATGTACACTTAGCGACATCTACACTTAAGCTATAACTGAAAGGTGGCCATTTGAAACATCAGAGTAGTTGACTAGGTCAGCAAGCTGCTACATATACTTATCATTCAATGGGTATATAATATTAGATATGTTTATTGATGACTATGAAAAATAAACAATGAACAACAACCTATTGCCAACTTTTAATGAATTAGGACTAATACGGTTATTGTTCATTTGATTTTCCAATGAGCTAATTTCATAGTACTTGATTGTATGATAATAATACAAAGTGATAGTAAGACTATATAATAAATTGATTGATGCAATTCTCATCTAGACAGATTTCTATCATAGTTCTACGCTTACACATTTATTTATTGAAATAAAGTGGACAAGTGAAAACCTGTTTATCCTTACACAATAAGATAATAAAGTTCAATCGGTTGACTAATTTTGTACTATCATCAATAAAATGCTGATTCATGCACAGTAATACATGTTTACACTTACGCCTAAATTAGACTATGTTTAACTAATTTTCTATGAAATTCAATGTACATCTGTCTAGTGGTAAAAACATTAACTCAGATTATCAATTTCAGTGTGACAACAATAAACAGTAATGCTATCACCCGACAAATTGTTTCACATTTATGTAATAAATGTCAAGCCAAGTTTAATGTAACAACCTAGCAAACCAATTAATGACCATGTGACCTACAGTTGGTAATCGAGTATATGAACATCACAACCTCTTAGAAGATGAACATATATATACCCACTTTATTCCGAGAATTTACAAGGTCAAAAAAACATTAAGGAACTCTGGCAGATAGTGAACCGACCAAGAACCTATTGTGCAAGACATTTGTAGAAGGAAACAGAGACAGACCAGAGACAAACTGATAGAACCGTCGAGTGACATCGTGCGCCAAGCAGTGTCTTGAATGGAACCTGGATGAAAAATGAGTTGATCTGAGAGTGACGTGGAGCTGACTTTTTGAAGAAATGATTGCTTACGGGGAATTGTGGAGCCAGTTAAAGAGGAGTGTAAAATACAGGATGAAATGGAGATGTTCTGTTGAAGCCGTATGCTCCACTAGGAACCTAAGGGAAGTACTAATTAGTATTTAGAAGACTTTTCGATAGTGCCATCGCCTCCTCGGGTAAAACGACGGAGTTTTAGTGAGATCAACTCTTGTAAACTAATAGAGGCAAGTATTGTTATATGAAGTGCATCTATGATGCAGTTAAATATATTTTAAAAAAATTAGTGGAGATCCCACAAAACTTATCACCATAATCTCGGTAAGAACTACTACTAATCCCCAGGTCGATATATTCTAAATTCAGATTTACTTCAGTACCAGCTGTGACAAAAGGTGAAAGATTTAGTTTGTATGAAAGCTACTTGAGTTTACTGTTCTCAAGCTCCAACCAAGTGTTGTTGGATGATGATGATGATGACTTTTTTGGGTTTGAGGAACTAATTTCAGCTAATTAGCCCATAGTAACTATACAGTTTTTCCATTTCCAATAAAGCGAAATGGTTAATAACTGCAACTAATCAACAGAAACTATATTATAGTATTAACAAACCACAACCTATCCAGAATAATCCTGAGTTACCATTTCTCACAAACCACTACTCACATATATGATTTCATATGACGGTATACCAAAATATCAATGGGTTCTGGAATATCTAACGATGAATAATAAAAATAACAACCATACTGGTAACAATACCAATACTAATACTAATAATAATAAAACGACTGAGACCCGGAAATAGTTTTCCCACTTGAATGTGAGGACTTATGATAACGCTCAATCATCTGAATCATAACATATAAAAAATCAATTAAATTGTGGGATTTTAACTAGTTACTTTGCGAATTTACTCCCACCCATTAATCGCCACACGGAACAAAAGATTTTTACAGAAGTGCAAAATACATCTACGAGTGGGCAGCGTTTAAGACAGAAGCGATAGGTTACTTAGTAACTAGGTTTGAATTTGTGTGCCGAAATTCACTGAATATGTTTATATACATTTATCACTCCAACTTGACAATGTTATTCAGACCAGTGATACTGCTGATGTGACAGATGGAAACTATAAATGACTGTCAAAAAGAACTAGTGAATCGCGTTAGCTTCATACGTATAAAAAGCAAGTAAATTTCAGACAGTAATGAAAAATAAAAGTAGTTAAGGACCACAGCTAAAGAGTTAGTGCATATTTGAGTACTCAGTATAGCCTTTCCGTTTAGGATAAAATGTGTACCTAGAGTGAAATTTAAAATAATCCACCATTTACAGTGTATTTTATTGAATAAAAACCAGGTATCTCCAGTATAAATGTCAACTCTCTGAAACAAATTCTGAAGTGATAAAATACGAATAACTCTTCTTAAGAGAAACACTAATTCGTAAAATTATTTTTGTACTTAAAATTAATAAAAAGAGTTCCTAAGAATAGAATTTAGGCCCTGTGATAGGGTATAACTCCACCGTATGATAATTTGATTTGATAAAGCAGTGGAAGGCAGTATTATTCACTTGATGACATTTCGAGCATAACTTAGAGCACATAGTCATACAATGTCATATGATTATGAGCATTATTGGTAAAGAATACTGTATCACTGTATTTTGTCAAGTAAAACTATTCCGTGACAGTATTAATAAAAGGGAGGGGGTTAAATTGTTCATATTTAACAAAAATTACATAAAACGAAATAAAGTGTAGAGCTTACCTGACGTACTGCTTCCAAAAATGCTTCATTTACTCCAACATCATCCCTTGCTGATGTTTCTAGATGAGGACAACACCACTGGGCAGCAAGTGTTTCTGACTCTTGAGGATCGATTTCTCGATGACCATTTAATGCTAAATCAGCTTTATTTCCAACAAGAACTATTGGAACAGATTTTACGGAGCCCGGTTGGAGACCTTTTACTCTCAGTATATTATCTCTCATGTTGCGTATATCACTGAATGTTTGACGGCTGGCAAGATTGTACACTACCAAAAAGCACTGGCCATTTCGTATATACAAATCTCTCAAAGAAGAGAACTGTTCTGTCCCAGCAGTATCCAAAATCTCTAAAGTGTGATGAACGCCATCAACCCTGAATATCAGTAGTTTTATAGCAGTTAGTCGGAGAACTTGTATTTACAGTATAATTATCATCAAAAAGAAAAACAACCTACAAATCCGCAGTCTTGATTTGTTTATTGTAGACCTATAAAGTCATCCAGCACACCTTCATTCTCAAAACCCAATTGTGGCACATCCATTTTTGCCACGATTGTGTTCCCAATAAGCAATAACAATGATCACAGAGTAGTCTTATCTGTTGCAACAGTAATGCAGCATTAGTCATTCAGTAGCGAAATTATGAACACAATTTACTGCTCAGTTGTATGATATTGATACCCTATCAGTGTTTAGGTCCGATTGTTTAACATGGTGAAGAAATTGATTTACTTGGACGTAACATATAGATTTTATTAGACTTTTAAACACAAAAGTTTAAGACACAGACATCCTCCCAATTACTGTTCAAAAATAGATTATTTGTGCCTACGTTACCAGCAAAAACAAATATCAAGTAAATTAGAAATGTAACGACAGAAGACAATTTTGATCAGGCAGGATAATCAAGATAAACAGAGAAACAAACAACAAATATTAGCGATCTTCAATAATTACTGCACATTGTAGACAAATAAGCATTCAGTTCGCTGGAAATTTCGATACAACAATGCTGTACACTTTTGGTTGCTAAAGTGAAGCATATCAAAGGTTCGTAGGATATGAAAAAGAGTGACAGTTCAACGGAGGAAACAAAGAACCTTTAGAAAAGATGGCAACCACGTAGTGGCTAAAACAACTGCAAAATACTAAAGAAATTAATGACACATTAATCTACTGCATTCAGTTTGTTACGAAATTATCATTCCTAATATGTGAACTAAACTACAAGTCACAGGGTCGGAAATAACCAACTAGGATTACACTTAGTTTTAATGCTCACCAGGTTGATATTTACCTAATTCGATTTCTCTAAAGTTACTTGGTTGTCCTCTGTCACCTTACATCATTTTCTTCTATTTCATTGTCATTTTATTTCAGTTTGCTAACTTCTCTGTTGCTATAATGTTCTGAAATTTTAACTGATACATAATTACGTGGGGTACTTGATAGTGAGTTATGGATTTAGCTGTTCGTACACTGTAGCCAAGTAGTTTGTGATTCATAGTTCAGCAATTCATACCCTCATAGTTTGATCACCCTTAGCTATCTAACTCTCATCCTAGATATCAAGGCTGCATTCCAACTTGCGTAACTTATCTAACCAAAATATATCTAACTTCAAGCTAGAGGATTGAAGTTGCGGTAGCAGTGGTATTTCTTTTTACAGGATGGGGTTGCCAGCCTCATGCCCATCCCTCCCTCTTTACCAGTCTTATTGCTGGCTTAAAGAGGTACAGCAGTGCGTTGGCCGGGGATCGAACCCCGGACCACATGCATGGTTGGCGAGCATTCTACAATGTGCCACCGACGCTCGAACCAGATCACCTGGGGGTCGTTTATTTTATTGCGAAATAGCAATGTCCCACGCCTCACAACGCACCACAAAGGGTGAAATGAGTAAGCATAGACACATCTTTTGCAACTATCTCTTAAACAAGCTTATGATAACATATATGCGAGGTTTTAAACTACATTTAAAATGTCACAGTCAAGAAGCATGTAGACAAGAACAATAAGGAACACAATATTCCACGAGGCAAGTTTCATTATCAGGAAGACAGTGAGCAAAAGAAACTGAACTTGTGTCAGGAGCGAGACAATAGATCATAACTATTGCTTAAGAGAGTAGTAATACTATAATATGGTCCATGATTAATTTTCGGTAATTCTTTTAGGAATCATAGGACGAGAGTGTAAACGCAAGAAAAGTTAGATGAGCAGGATTTTACTTTGTGCACTTCCCTAAATTCAACAAAAACAGAATATTCTGTGCATCCTAACAATCCAACTGCATATCCCTGTATATATTGATGTATGTACGTGGGTGAACTGACAGCTCTGTCTCCCCATTTCTATCCAGACTATTTGTAATTTCCCATCTGCTGCACCAAAAATACATGATACCCTTAAAGAATACGAAAGTATGTTCAGATAACATTATAAATTTTTAAAAATACAAATTTCTAAAACTCACAAAATATCTTTTCGATAGAAATCTTCTATTGTAGGGTCATATTTTTCCACAAATTTTCCCGAGACGAACTTTACCGTTAAAGCACTTTTGCCTACTCCACCACTACCGAGAACCACTAGTCGGTATTTTCGACGCATACGTTATCTTACACATTAATCAGCCTACGAAACGTAACGCCTGTAACAAACGATGGGTAATTTCAATTATCAATGATTTTAGTAACTAATGTTCGTGACGCTTTTGAGTAAACATTTTTACTCTCTCAGCGCTCGCTTTCCGCTGAACGATTGAAAGTGTTGTGTGGATTCTATAACACGACTGCTTCAACTGTACTTAATGCGGAAAGCTGGGATGCCTGTCTATTTAGGGTATTAAATGCTGTGAGTAGGGCTTGTGGTTTGCCACTGCGTGATCTCGCCAATACCATAGTCGAGAGACACGTAAATTCCTGTAAAAATTGGGCAAAGGCCGTACTGTCAGACCCTCTGCACCCTCTTTATTCACAATTATCCCCTTGTATCTCATCAGGTAGAACGAGAAGTCAATATAAGAAATTATATGCTCGTACCACTAAGTACAAAAATTCTACAATACCGTACTTAGCCCGTATTTTATGTGATGAAGACACTGTTAGACGTGAAACATATAAGTTACTATGTAATTAGCATAGTGAATCGACCCTTTCATTGTTCATCTTTCTGTAATTCTATGGTGTCACCCTTTCTGTCGTTTAATTATAACTTTGCTATTTTTATTTTAGTTGTTATTACTATTATTACTATAATTTTATATTTTTCTCCTTATCCTCTACTGTAATTGCTACATAGCTCCTATAAAAACGTTTTGTTATCATTATTATGTATTAATTATTCCGTTTATCTACTTTTTTTGTTTGTTGTTGTCGTTTTTGAGTAAATTAGATGCAATACTGTACTGAATGCTGAAAATTCCTTGCTGTATCATTAATACTGTTTTTGGAATAAAGCAAAAAATTATTATTATTATTATTAGACGAGGATATATAATTTGCTCCGAGAAATGGGTCACTAGTTGAATTTTGGAATGATTTCTCACCAAAAAATTCTATTCTTCATCAGAAACAAGCTGGAAATTGACATCATGAGAACAGAAATAAAATCGAGGAGGTAAGGTGACAAGAAACCAATAAAAGATAAGATGAATGATCTTACGCATGTAAGCGAGGAGGTAAAATCACAAGAAAAAGAAAATTTTTGAAAAAAATAAAGAAGGCCGTGGTTGGCACCAAGTGGATAACTGCAATGTCAAAGATGTCCCCAATAGATGCGCTACAGCTGCTCTTTTTAACATGAGTGTCCAGGCTTCCCTTGATTCTACTCACGTGCAAATCAGTAGCCATGTCAGAAAAAAATGAGTTCCATAAACTATGGGCACTGAAACGAAAGAAGTGAGGTCTCGTCTATGTCCTTGTTGGATTACTATTCCTGATTTCTTTGAGAAAGTGCTATAGCGTCGTCTCGACAATGTCTCTTTACGCGCGTTTTTGATTACTCGCTATTTTGTGTGTTGCTATCGAATTTACTTGATTCTATGGTAGGCAGAAGTAAATAGGTATATTCCGGTGAATTCGCTATTACACTGGTTGAGTTTTGTCCCATCCAAAGCCCCCTTAATCATCTTTGTATTTTCTCTGAGAGATTAGCTTTTCTCTCTAAAAGTTGTGGTGCTACCGCGTCGTGAATTTTGAAATGTGGCAGTACATAGTTTTTGTGTGGTCAGATTATACAACCCACACGGGAAGCGGTTTGCTAGAGCTTTAGATCAGCCTGCGACGTAGTTATTTGCAGTATTTTGTTTTCTGTGAGTCGCCGTATTAGTGAGGTTTGTTTCCCACAAGTTATAGGGTCTAGGAAACCAAATGGTCAGACTGCTTGAATAAATTTGATATGGCTTTCAGTTTGCTTCGACTATTAATAACTCTCACGGTTGATGTAGGGTTATATATCCTGCTAGACCCGGGCTCTGATTACACGACCTGTTGATTCTCTGGTCTGGCATACCTAACCTGGTGGCCAGGCTGTTCTTAAAACCACCCTAACCAGCGTAGCGAGAATGTAACACTCCTAATCAAAGGCATATTTATTGACGACGATTTGGATAGAGTGCAGAGATATACATCTACAGCACAACGGAGCTTCCAAGCTCTTGTCTTTTGAAAACCTATCTGTACAACCTGTGTTTCAGTCTGCACAGTTAAAAAAATTGATCCATAAAGGTTCGATTTATCCAACAAACCTCTTTGATCCCCTAAAAGGGACCCTTTGTATTTGTTGGATGTGAATAAACATGGCTCAGCGCTTCTTTGAGTGAAGTATTTTAGAGCACTTTTAAAACAAATACGGTGACTGTCATGTCCTTGACAAATGGGTAATGTTTTATCTGTCTTTCGATCCGGAAAATTTGTAGGTATTATTTGCTATTCATGAAGTTATATTCTGGGGATTCCATGCCTTCCCTTTGGAAACAACTGCTTCCATCAATAAAAATATTCCTACATAATAAACGGTGGTCCTGTCAACTCCACAGTCACAGGTAGGTTAACTGAGGCGTCAGTAGTGGGACCTAAATATCAATTTCCAAAATCCGAAGGCATCTGATGCACTCTCATCAATAGCGTCATTTCTTCGCATCTAGCATTCAAATCTTTCAATACATTATCTTGCAATCAAATTGCAACAAGCCCACTTTTTGGGGTCCATAACTTGCAGCGTCCTCTAATTTTTTCTTATTTTAACAACCGGGTAGCTTTAATCTGCTCATAAGGTACTACTTAGTTACGTAATAACCGCTCTTATATAAAAGAGTAATTATAACATAGCTTTTCTCACTAGACTATCGTGCCGAATGTGTAGGTACATTCAGGATCATTCCTTGGGTTCAGCTACGCTTTCAACAAACAATGTTGACATTTTCCAGCACTTGTGAGGGATTCCGCCCATACCACGTTAGGAAACCGCTGGTTGTTCGTTATTATCTGGGTTGTGAAATCATTTCGATTACATGCATCATCAATATGATAAACTGCATTTACGACTAGTAAGCATATTTAATAATAATAATATAATAAAAAACATATTTATTCCTGCCTATGTACAGGCATGGTAAGCACTATTTAAATTACATAATATAATACCATATAATATTTTTATTTACATAAATTAGGCATTTACATGATTGACATAGCGTTTGAGCAGGCATGATCATTTTTGAAAAATATGTAAGAACAGATGGCATAGTCATTGTGAAACTGGCTCATGGTCACTGTGCATCAGGAATGCTGAAATTCCCTGTTCAGTGTTGATCAAAGTAAGAAATGTGACAAAATTGAGGTAAATGGAACATATTTTACCAAATGATGAAGAAAAGTTCTGAATATGAGGGTTATGAAAGCTTAATAATAATAGCAAGATCTTACAGCTTTAGAGGAATGTGAGTTGATTCACTGGTAAGTTAGCAGTGGCCAGAAAACCTATTAGCTTTCATTGTTTCTATTTTCCAGGTTACTATAGTTGCTTCCGCAATGTTCAACTTATTTATGGACTTTCATGAAGCATAAACAGAGAATACGCATGTGAAGTATAAAACATTAGTGATATTATGAATCTGTTTGTTGAAATAAATTTTTCTGTAAAGTTTGCAAGACATTTATACAATAATAATAATTATTGTTTGTTGAAGTGAAAAGTGATGCCAACTTAGAAGACGGGATTTGCATAAAGAGTCATAATAACATGTAACTGAAATGGGTGTAATGACGTAATTTTACTGCTTTTCGGTAATTAATTCTGCTGGTAGACTGTAAACAGGTGACATTTACACCAGAAGCCTGTGTATTAAGTTACAGTATTTTACTGTAACAAAATAATCAGTGAAGTCTAATTGGCAATATGATCATGCAAGAGTCTATTAGTACTAAATGCTAATACAAGAAGAGGGATGTCGTCATTTTATTACCTAAAGATTTCCTCTAATAAAGTACTGTTACACGCAACATAAGAACAATGGACTACTTGTGATAAATAGAATACATGTTTCATAGTATGCCTGAAGTATCTAGACTACTAGTACAGCTCGTGTACGTAGAGCCTGCTTTTGCCAGCCTATATTTCGTTATTAGAATATAAACACCTGTTCTAAGGCTATTTTCTTTCCAACGCTAATAAATACTAATAAAATGTGCAAACGGATTAAATGTAACCGAAATATTTCACTTAAGGCTTGATCACTCAATGGAGAAACACTGACGGCTTAAGACTGACGCATTTCACACAAGTATTACTACGTTACCTATCATTCTCGTTAATTATGCAATATCCTTGAAATGATTAGTAAAAGAAATACAGGTAGTCGGCATAAGCGCATTTATTTACAACGAAATTATAATCAACTAAGTCAGAAATAATTTCGTGTAAAAGAGTACATATTTACATAAAAAAGAGGTTATGTCTGCATCACAGTCAACATAAGGTCCACTAATCATTCTATCCACAGGATGCAGATCAGTTTCCCTTATTTGATAGTGGCACTGGACCAGTCTTCTCATTTTTCATCACCAACATATCAACTGGTGTGTCCTACATAGATAGGAAATATATATTATACGACTGGATATGATCTTTCCATGCAGCGATCGAGATTGTAATTCTTTGCCTACCTTTGGCTGCACTGAGAAATACCTGAGGATGTATACATCTCAGGTGAATTGACATTACCTCAGTTGAACAATTCCTTATCACAGGCACAATGAATTTGTGAACAAGGGAGGGGACAGTTGAAGCATTTGTGAGATTCTAAAGATTGGTGACATCTTTGCACGTGTTTGCTCTGATATTCATTTACTGCTTATAGTCATATAATCCTTGAAAATATGGTCCAAATTTCTAAGAAACGTGTTCGTAGAAACACAGTTGTTTTAGGTAGTGCCTCAATATCGGTTATAACTACATTACCACCCTGTAATACAGCAATAACTACTACCTCACAAAATGGCTTGAGTGCAATTCTCACTCCTGTGATACAGATGAAAGATGTTCTTTTAGCGAACTCTGAGATCTGTAAATTAGACCTCCTTGTGAAAGATATCCAAAGGCAAGTAGAT